AAACACATACAAAAACACATGGTTTCGCAACACCGATTTGCTAAAAAAACTTCCGCACGAGCTCTTGCGAAATCTTAAGAAACCATAGGTTTTTCAATATTTTCACAACATGCTACTAAACGGGCTTCGCGCGCGCATGTCGGAATTTGTCGAACGCCCTTGCGCGTGTGCCGTCGCGAGAATCCTCTGCAAAAAATCGGACGAAGTGCAGACGCGCGCGTCGTCGCGCGCGTAGGCCGAAAACCTTCAAAACCCATCGGTTTCGGAAGGATTTCAAAACCGTGTCTCCAAACAACCTATGAAACTCAAGGTTTTGCAACACGGATTTTCAACAAAAGCGTGCGCGCGCGCTCTTGCGTCGTCGTCGTCGTCGTCGTCATCCTCCCTCCTCCCGCGTCGTCGTCGTCGTCGTCGCCTACGTCGTCCTCTGTCTTTCCTCGTGTTCGTCGTCGTCGTCCTCTTTGGCGTCGTGGTCGTTTCCGTCGTCGTTGTCGCCGTAGTCGTCCTTCCTCCTCCTCCCTCGTCGTCGTCGTCGTCCGTCGTCGGCGTCTCGTCGCCGTCCCTCCTATTTCGTCGCCGTCGTCGTCGTCGTCGTCGTTGTCGTCGTCATCGTCTTCCCTCCTCCCTCGTCGTTGCCGTCGTCGGCGTCGCCGTCCTTCCTCCTTCTTCGTCGTTGCGTCGTCGCCGTCCTCCTCCTCCCCTCGTCGTTGTCGTCGTTGTCGCCGTCGTCGTCCTCCCTCCTCCCTCGTCGTCGTCTTCGTTGGCGACGTCGTCGTCGTCTTCGTCGTCGTCGTCGGCGTCGGCGTCGTCGTCTTCGTCGTCGTCGTCGTCGTCGTCGTCGGTGTCGTCGTTGTCGCCGCCGTCGTCGTCGTCGTCGTCGGTGTCGGCGTCGTTGACGTCGTCGTCGTCGGTGTCGTCGTTGTCGTCGTCATCGTCGTCGTCGTAGTCGTTGTCGTCGTCGTTATCATCGTCGTCGTCGTCGTCGTCGGCGGCGTCGTCGTCGTTGTCGGTGTCGTCGTCGTCGTCGTCGTCGTCGTTGTCGGCGTCGTCGAAGTCGTTGGAGACGTCGGTGTCGTCGTAGTCGTTGTCGGCGGCGCCGTCGTCGTCGTTGTCGCTGTCGTCGTCGGCGTCGCTGTCGTTGCCAAGTGCCATTTGGTACCCACCGTCACGGTCTTAAGAGATTTTGCAAGCCAAGTTGCGGGTGGGTGGGTGGGATGTTTGCGCGAGCAGTGGAGTGGACAATTCACTGCGAACAGAAATTATTTAATCGCTTCGCTCATTCCGCCGGCCCGTATTGTGCCATCGCAGGCGTTTGCTTGCGCGTTCGTGGCCTCTTGGAGCCTCGGTGGGGCCGTTTGGGGCCTCTTGGCGCCTCTTTTTAGGCCTCTTGGAGAACTCGGGAGGCCTCCAGGGGGCCTCCTGAGCTCTCGTGACGGTCTCTTGGGGGGCTTTCGGCGGGCTCTTGGCGGTATTTGTTGGTCCTCTTGGGGCCTGGGGCCTGACGTTGTTGGTCCTCTTGGGGCCTCACGGGAGCTTATTGGGGCGTCTTGGGGGTGTCTTGGAGAGTCTCTTGGGGCCTCTTTCGGGGTCCTGGGCGCCTTCTGGGGCGGAGGGCTCGATTTTTCAGTTCTCGGTTCCCTTCTTGAGCCCCTCTTGGGCCCGTCTTGGGGCCTCTTGGTCCGCCTTGGGCAGCACTTGGGCCGTCTGGGGGGCGCTCTTGGGCCGCTCCGGGGCCGTCTTGGGAGCCTCGTGGGCCGTCTTGGAGCAGTCTTGAAGGCCTCTTGGGCCCTCTTGGAGCGTCTGGAAGCGAAAAGGCCAGAACGCAAAAAAACATAGAAAAAACCAATGAAAATCAACGATTTTGGCAACTTGGGGCCCTCTTCGGAGGCCTCTTGGAAGGCCCTTGGAGCGTCTTGGAGGCCTCTTGGGCTGTCTTGGGGCCATCTGGGGCGTCTTCGGGCGATCTTTGGCCGTCTCGGGCCTCTCTTGGACCGTCTAGAAAGCTTCTCGGGGCCCTCTTGGACCGATCTGGAGCCCTCTTGGACTCCGAAACAGAACTCCGGCATCTCTGACCCGACCTTGCCGGGGACTTGCCGGGGACTTGCCGGGACCTTGCCGGGGTACTTTTCGCCCGGGGACCCCCAGGGGCCGCCCCGCGCGCGCGAACTAGAAATATTGTTAACCAGGTACCGGAGATCTTAGCACGCCCTGGCCCGTTGGGCCGGCGAATTAGAAATTATTTGCACACCATAGACTGTTCAAAGCAAAGTTCACACCATGAATTGCACCGCGTAGTTTGCACTGCGTAGGTTGCTTCGCCCAGGTTGCACCACATATATTGCACTGCGCAGATTGAACGCCATATCTATTGCACAACATGGATTTTCCTTACCGAAAGACTACTCCGGTCTTCCCCGCTTGGAGTTAACGCCTCACCTCTTCGTGTGGTTTCTTCGTATCTGTTTCTGCACATTCGTCCATCCTAAATTTGAATTCGTACCATCCTAGGCAGTCCTTTATTGGTTCCCCTGCATCCTCTGCAGAAAATGCGATGCGCGCACGTTCATCACAAGTCAGCGGTTTGCAAAAATTCTTTGCGAACATATAAAAGGCAACATGCGCACGCGCGCGCCGTCGCGCGCGCATGTCGAAATCCGGCATACAGCTTAGGTTTCGGAGAGATTTCAAAATCGAGTGTCCCGAGCACACATATAAGCAACAATTGGCTTCGCAACAGGAAAAGTATGCGCTCTTGCTCTTGCCAGATTCTAACATTACTATCGGGTTTCCATTTCACCATCGAATGCCACTAAACATGCCTCTCGTACGCGCGTGTCGAAATCGTTCGAACGCCCTTCGCGCGTGCTGTCGCAATAATCTTTTGGAACAAAGGGGACGACGCGCGCGCGCCGTCGTTCGCGCATGCCGAATTTCTTCAAAACCGTCGGTTTCGTAAGGATTGCAAGAGCGAGGTTCTCGGCAACTTTTCAAAACCACATGGTCTTGCATTGACAGTTTTCCAAAAGGTCTGCGCGCGCGATCCTGCGAATTCTACAAATATTTCTTCAATGTGTTTAGCCACTTTGACCAAGCGGGCCTCTTCTTCCTCCTCCTCCTCCTCATAGGATGAGGAGGAGGAGGAGGAGGAGGAGGAGGAGGAGGAGGAGGAGGAGGAGGAGGAGCAGAAGGAGAGAGGAGGAGGAGGAGAGAGGATGAGAGGGGGAGAAGAGGAGGAGGAGGAGGAGGAGGAGGCGCGGAGGCGGAGGCGGAGGCGGAGGCGAGGCGGAGGCGAGGCGAGCGAGGCGGAGGCGGAGCGGCGGCGGCGGAGAGGAGGAGAGGAGGAGGAGGGGGAGGAGAGGAGGAGGAGGAAGAGAGGAGGAGGAGGAGGAGGAGGAGGAGGAGGAGGAGAGGATGATGATGATGATGATGAATGATGAATGATGATGATGATGATGATGATGATGATGATGATGATGATGATGATGATGATGATGATGATGATGATGATGATGAAGATGATGATGAAGATGATGATGATGATGATGATGATGATGATGATGATGATGATGATGATGATGATGATGATGATGATGATGATGATGAGGAGGAGGATGAGGAGGAGGACGCGGAGGAGGAGGAGGAGGAGGACGAGGAGGAAAGGAGGAGGAGGAGGAGGAAGGAGGAGGAGGGAGGAGGAGGAGGAGGAGGAGGAAGGAGGAGGAGGAGAGGAGGAGGAGGAGGAGGGAGGAGGATGAGAGGAGGAGGAGGACCCCCTCCCCATCCAACTCATGGTGGTGGTGGTGATGGAAAGCAGGCCCATCAACCCAACATGAGGAGCGCTCGCGGCAATATCAACCACATCAAGGAACATCTGTCCTCTCCCCTCCGCCATCCTGCCTCCGCCTCACCCCCTACCATCGGCATCGGGCTGCTCCGCAGCCGTTTTTTGGCTCAAGCTGTTGTCGTGCCCGTGAGCGCAGCTGGTGAGGCTTCGGGCCGCGCACGGGCAGCCCCCCCAGGCAGTCCCAGCTGCTGCTCCTCCTCCTCCGCCTCCTCCGCCTCCTCCTCCGCCTCCTCCTCCGCCTCCTCCTCCGCCTCCGCCTCCTCCGCCTCCTCCGCCTCCTCCGCCTCTTCCGCCTCCTCCGCCTCCTCCGCCTCCGCCTCCGCCTCAACCCTGGGGCGCGGAGCAGGGGCGCCGCCGGAGGTGGCGCCAGGGTGTCGAGACCGCCCTGGACTGCTCGGGGGGCCTGCTGAGGCCAGCTGGGGCTGCCTCGGAGGGCCCGTCCGTGCGCGACGCGGGGCCTTACCCAGCACAGCCGCAAGCCCCGAACGGACCACGATCAGTCTCGTTTGCCCTGCCGCCATTCCCCCCCGGGTTATGGTACCCCAGCCCCACCCTCCCACCACCCCAGAGGGGGATGGGCCCCTCCAAGCCTGAGGGGAGCAGCCCGCGCCCCCATCTGGGGGCCTGAATCGTCCAGCGGGGCCCAGGCCACGCCTCCGAGGGGAAAAGGGGCTCGGCTAAACGATGCTCGCATGAGCGGCCAGCTGACACTGCTGGGGGCCGGCGCCCTCGCGCTGCTCGAGGCCGCGGCCGCGGCCGCGAAGGCGCTCTCGCCGCGGTACTGCTCGGCGAAGGGCCTCCTGGGGGCGCTCGCCGCGCTCGGCGGCGGCCTGACCTCCCTGTGGCGGGCGCGGTGCCCGAGGCCGCCACCGCGGGTGTCGCGCCTGTTCCTCCACCTCGGAGGAGGGCCGGCCGAGGCCACGGCGGCCCCCACCCCGGACGAGCTCGCGTCGCACGGGAGCCGTCCGGGGCCTCCGGGTGCCCTCGCCGGGCCCAGGACTGTCAAACAGCGGCTCGAGGCGTCCGGGGCTCCAGGCATCGAGCAGCAGTCAAGGTGTCGCGTGTCTGGGGCCTGCGTTTTCGGCCTTCCTGGGCCTTCTGGAGGCTTCTGGTGGCCACGGTTGGGTCCGCCGCGGAGACTAGGTCCGAACGGACCCCGGGAGGGGGGCGGGGACCGATCTTGAGCCGGCCGGGTGGGAGAGCCGCCGTTGTCTCAGCTGGCTGGCCCTCCCCCGATCCATCCGGTCAAGGGGGCCAGCCCCGTGGAGGTGCGCTCCGTCCGGCTCGACGAGCTGGGCTTCGCGAACGACCGCCGTTGGGCGGTGGTGGACATGGCGATGCGGGCAAGATTTATATCCGTGCCCGCCGCGCCTCGAGTCTTCGGACTCCCTCTCCGAGAAGCCCGAGGCGCAGTGGATGCGGACAAGAACCTGGCCTCCCAGATATTTTTTGAAAGACCCGCATCCACCGCGCCCTCTTGGCATCCCTTCCCAAAACGTCAAGGACGCCGTGGATATGGGCACCAATCTTGCCCGCAGGCGCGGCCGCCAGCGACCCGCGTCCTCCACCTGGCGGTCGAGCCGCGCCTCGCGCTGATCCGCCCCGAGCTCGACGACCACCTGAGCCCCGCTGCGCGCCTCGAGCTGAGGGCCCCCGGGATGCAGGACGGCGCGGCTTCGGGCCGCGCACGGACAGCCTCCTGCAGGCAGTCCTGGCTGGCCTCTGCAGTCCCAGCTGGCCTCGACAGGCCCCCCGAGTCAACACCTCGGCGCCGCCTCTGGCGGTGCCCCTGTGGCGCTCCGCGCCCCAAGGTTGGGGTGTTGAGGCCGCCGGGGGCTGATTACTCAGGGGGCCTGCTGAGGCCAGATGAGATTACCTGGGGCGGCTGTCTGTGCACAGCCCGAAGCCTTCTGAATGCAGGACCTGAGGGTGCCCAGCCCCTCGGCGGAGGCCGATCGCATCGAGGCTGTCAGGGGCAACGACCGTTGCCTGGCCCAAGTCGGGCGGGGCCAGGACCGGGATCAAGCGTTCCAGAGCGCTCCGAAACGCTCTCAGGAGGAGGAGGACGATGATGATGATGATGATGATGATGATGATGATGATGATGATGATGATGATGATGATGATGATGATGATGATGATGATGATGATGATGATGATGATGATGATGATGATGATGATGATGATGATGATGATGATGAATTCTGCTGCTGCTGCTGCTGACTGATGAATGAGATGATGATGATGATGATGATGATGATGATGATGATGCTGCTGATGGAAGATGATGATGCTGATGCTTGCTGCTGATGATGATGATGAGATAATGATATGATGATGATGATGATGTGATGATGATGACGACGACGATGATGATGATGATGACGATGATGAAGATAATGGATGATGATCGAAGATGATGATGATAATGAGATGATGTGATGATGAGGGATGATGATGATGATAGATGATGATGCGGCTGCTGCAGCTGCTGCTGATGTAGCTTAATGAATGATGATGATGGTGGTGGTGGTGGTGGTGGTGGTGGTGGTGGTGATGATGATGATGATGATGATGGTGGTGGTGGTGGTGGTGGTGGTGGTGATGATGATGATGAGGAGGAGGAGGAGGAGGAGGAGGAGAGGAGGAGAAGAGGAGGAAGAGGAGGAGGAGGAGGAGGAGGAGGAAGAAGAAGAAGAAGGAGACAAAGAAGACGAAGACGACTAAGAATACTAATAATAATAATAAGAAGAAGCATACTATTAATACTAATCAGAATAATAATACTAATGCTAAGAGTAATAATACTAGTAATAATAATACTAATAATAATAAGAACAATCCGAATAATACTCATAGTAATAATGATAATACTACTAATAATAAGAAGACGCATAAGCATAATAAGAATAATAAAAAGAACAATAAGAAGAATAGTAATAATAATACGAAGACGAATAATAATAATCATAATATTAATAAAAAGCATTCTAAGAATAATAATAATAAGAAGAGTCATACTAATACGAAGAAGAATAATACGAATACTAATAATAGTAATACTAATAGTATTTTGAATAATAATACGAATAATATTATTCAAAATAAGAATAATAATACCAACACTAATAATAATACTCATAATCGTAATAGTACTAATAGTAGTAATACTACTAATAATCGCAATAATAATACTAATATTGACAATCTCACAAATAAACTCATCACTAAGACTCAATCATATAATAAATAATTTAATACTTAATAGTAAATACTACTAATAGAAATAAGATAAGACGGATATTAAATAATACGAATATAATCAATAATAGTAGTAAGAAGAAGAAAGAAGAAGAAGAGGAGGAAGGAGAGGAGGAGGGAGGAGGAGGCGGGAGGGAGGATAGGGAGGATGAGGAGGAGAGGAGGAAGAGGAGGAGGAGGCTAGGAAGAGGAGGGGAGGAGGAGGAGGCGGCGGCGGCGGGCGGCGGCGGCGAGGCGGAAGGACGGAGGAGGAGGAGGAGGGGTGAGGAGGAGGAGGAAGAGGAGGAGGAGGAGGAGGAGGAGGAGGAGGAGGAGGAGGAGGAGGAGGAGGAGGAGGAGGAGGAGGAGGAGGAGGCTCTGGATCGCTCTGGAGCGGCCGCGGCGCCCCCGATGTATTTTCCAGAGCAGACGTGTCTCTGGGATCCCCGCTGTGCCCTGACCTGATTTTCGCCCCCGCCCTTGCCTCGTCTTCTCCAGGGGGGGAGGCAGCGACACAAGGTGGTGGGCGCGTGGTGGCGTTCACAGGCCCCAGGGCCACCTGAACCCAGTCGAGCACTCACGGAGTCGAGTCAAGACTTTGCCGTAGCGCTACACATTGGGTTCGGGTCCATTCAGTAGTTCTGGACGGCCACGTCTTACAGCATGTTGCACCTCGCCAAGCCTGGCAGGAGCAGTGCAGGGAGGATCTGTCGGCGACGAGGAAGAAGGGTATGGTTATCCTAGTGTGTGGTTTGCGATCGGCGCCCCTGGGGCTCAGGGGCTCGCGACGTTGCACCAGAGCTTTGATGAGCCCTCGCTGGGGCGCGGCACAGAGCTCTGTTGGGGTCCTCGCCCCCCCCGGGCCAAATTTAGGGAACAGTCGATGACATAAGCAGAAAAGCTCGGAGATCCGCGCGGATTTCTGGGATCGGCGCTGGCCCCCTCCCCTCCCTGGCGCTGGCGCGCGGAGCACGCCAGGGGCGGCGCCAGAGGCGCCGCCAGGGGGCTTCAGCGCTAATCCGAGGAATCCGCGCGGAGCTCCGAGTTCTTTTTCCTTATGTCATTGATTGTACGACCACTGCCCCCCGGACCCTTCTCCGATTTCCCGTCCCCCTCCTCCTCCTCCTCGTCACCCCTCTCCGCCACCTCCTCCTCCTCCTCCTCCTCCTCCTCCTCCTTCCCCCTCCCTTTTGTGCAAGAGCCATGGCACGCGTGCCATTGGTTTCTATGCCATTGTTTGTTCCCCTACGGTTTGTGCGGTCTCGTTGTGTCTCTCTTTTTCCCCCCCCGGGCCCTCCTCCGGCTCCCCCTCCGCGCCCCGCTCGCGCCTGCCCCTGCCTCTCGTGCCACCCTTTGCCCTGGCCCCGCCGCCTTCCGAGGCCCGCCCCCTCTTGCTCCTCCTCCTCCTCTTGCTCCTCCTCCTCCTCCTCCTCCTCCTCGTCCCTCTTCCCTCTTCCCTCTTTCCTCCTCCTCCTCATCCTCTTCCTCCTCCTCCGCCGCCCGCCCGCTCTCTCTTCTCCCCTCGGCGCACCGCCGCGAGGTCCGCCTCCTTCAGATCAAAATCAACAAACTGCCTCAGCAGCATTTTCGGAGCCCCGCGCGGGCTTCTCCAATCTGCGCTGAACCCCGATTCCCTGCGGCGGCTGACATTGAAAAGTTCCCCTAAGTCACCAGGCGCGTTCCACTACTCGCAAAGTGCATGCTGGCAGATGTCTTGAAAACGTATGTGTGCCGCGATGTGATTAATCGCAAATCCCCCGCGGCGTATCCAGGCCATTTGCGAGTATAGTTCCTTCGCGAGTCGTGGAACGCGCCTGCCTTCTAAGGTTGCAGACTGCCAGCCGCCCATTCCTCGACGATTGTGGCCTTGGGCCCCTACGCCGCCACGGAAAACCCCGCGGCCTCGCCGCCGGTTGATCAATCGGCGATCTATCGGCGACGCGTCGCCGATTCCAGGTCTTCCCTGGATCCGACGTCGCGACCAACAAACGGGGAATCAACAATGACGAAGCATCACAACTCGGAGGGCCGCGCGGACCTCGGAGGTTTCATGCTTATGCCATTGCTTGTTCTAATGCGACATCGCGAGCCATCACGACTGGAGTCCCTAGACCCCATCTCTCTGCGTCGTTTCTCGAGCGGGACCCATCCGTGAGGGTCACGGGGCCCGAAACGGGGCAGCGCATCACCCGCTGCGACCGAATTGCGACGCCAGGACCTCGGGGCCCGAGTCAGTACTCCAGATTTCGTAATAAAGGGAGGGGGGTCTCATTTCGGGGGGGGTCTCTTCCAGGCTATCTTGGAGGGCCTGGGGGGTCTGGGGACGATGTTTTGGAGGGTTCTCCCACGGGGGGGGGGTCTGAAATGGCTTGTCTTGGAGGGTCCAGACCCCCTCCCTTTTATTACGAAATCTGGAGTATCCTCTATCGTTCCCTCTCGAGGTTGGCCTCTGGGACACCTGGGCGTGGCCCTCGACTGCGGCCAGCATGCCCAGGCCTCTAGGCCTCCCACATGGAACTCGAGCAGGTGGTGTCGGAGCGATGCGCCGCGATGTGGAACCCGACTTTATTCACGCCGACGTCGCCGATGCATCGCCGACGTCGCCGATGCATCGCCGATGCATCGCCCGTACACAGGCGGTGCATGGGCGATGCATTTGCGATGCAGCGCGATGCTCCAACCCCATCCACTCGAGCCCCACTTTGGAGGCCTCTAGTTTCTGGGGCCGCCCGGGCCAGTATTCGGCGTCACCCAAGCATATTAATACTGTGTGTGCGTCGCTCGTCAGACGGGCGACGCGCGCGCGGAAAAGGCTTCTGGTAGAAGCTCGGGGCGCTTTCTGGCTGTGCTGCTCGGGAAGCGATGTGCTGCACGATGTTTGTACTGCATGTTCGGTTCGGACAGGCGCCTCCAACAGAAGCGCACCCAGTACTGGCATGTCCTCGCTGTCCCAAGTATGCCCCCATCGCTCCCCCCGAGGTTGGGCTCCAGTCTCTGGGGCCGCCCGAGCCAGGGTCCCCCACAGCCAAGACGCCGAAATATGGAACAGGTTGTGTTCGGAAGGGGCTGGATGTTCCCTGGGTCCTTCAATGACTGTTCCTCTAGCCCTCCTCGGGCACGCAGGCGCCTTGGGGGCCAAAATGGGGCCTCGCTCCTTGCTCACCGCTCCTCATTTCAATGGCCCCTCTGCAACCCCTATCATCGTTCTGAGTGGGTCCCGCCTTTTTTCTCTTCCCTCGGCGGCGAGCGAGGGTGGGGGAAGTGAGACGGAGAAGGCACTCTCAGAAGGCGGCGGGATTTCTCAGAAGCCCTCGCTCCTTCTGAGAAGTTTTGTTGGTATGTATGTATGTAGATGTGTATTCATGCCTGTATGTATGTATACGTGCATGCATGCATGCATGCATGAATGCATGTAGATAGGTAGGTAGGTAGGTATTCATGCATGCATGCGTGCATGCATGTCTGTATGTATATATGCATGTATTTATGTATGTATATATGCATTTATGCATGTATGTATGCATGTATGTATGTATACATGCATGTATGTATGTATGTATGTATGTATGTATGTATGTATGTATGTATGTATGTATGTATATATATACATGGATGCATGCCTGTATGTATGTATATATGTATGTATGGATACATGTATGTATGTATGTATATATTTACGTATGTACGTATGTACGTATGTACACATGCATGTATTTATGTATTTATGTATGCATGCATGCAGGCATGTATGCATGTACGTATGTATGTATGTATGTATGTATGTATGCATGTATGTATGTATGTATGTATGTATGTATGTATGTACACATGTATATGTATGCATGTATGCATGCATGCATGTATGTACGTAATTATGCTTGTATATATATATATATATATATATATATATGTATGCTTGCATGCATGCATGCATGCATGCATGTATGCATGCATGCATGCATGCATATATGTATATATGCACATATGTACATACGTATGCATGCATGTATTCATGTATATATACATATATATATGTCTGTATGTATGTATGTCTCTCTGTACGCATGCATGCATATATGTAATGCAATGTATTGTAATGTAATGTAATGGATTGTAATGTAATTTAATGTAATGCAATGTAATGCAATGTAATGTAATGTAAGGTGGTGCAAATGTAATGTAATGTAATGTCATGTCATGCTATGCAATGTACTGTACTGTAATGTACTTTACTGTACTGTACTGTACTGTAATGTAGTGTAGTGTAGTGTAATGTGATGTACTGTACTGTACTGCACTGTACTGTAATGTAATGTAAGGTGAGGTAATGTACTGTGCTGTATGTATGTATGTCTGTCTGTATGTATGTATGAGGCCCACAACCGCCCGTCGTGACCTTTTCACAGCGCGAGGGGGTCTGGGCCCACTGCCTCCCCCCCGAGGTGGGGCTCTGAGAAGTGGATCCGGGCTGTTTTTTCACCCCGGATCCACTTCTGGTGACCTCCGGTCCCGAGAACGGGCCCCTGAGGCCGACATCGAGGAACCATTGCTGGGCTGAAAATATCACATCCTCGGAGGTCCGGGTTGCCTCCTCCTCCGGCTCCTCCTTCACCTCCTCCTCCTCCTCCTCCTCCTCCTTCCCTCCTCCTCCTCCTCCTCCTCTCCTCCTCCTCCTCCTTTCCCTCCTCCGCCTCCCCTCTCCTCCTCCTCCTCCTCCTCCTCCTCCTACTCTCCCCTTCCCTCCTTCTCCTCCTCCTCCTCCTCCTCCTCCTCCTCCCTCCTCCTCCTCCTCCTCCGCCTCCGGCCTCCTCCTCTCTCTCCTCCTCCTCCTCCTCCTGCTCCTCCTCCCCGAGGTTGGGCTCTGGGACACCCCGGGCGTGGCCCTCGACTGCGGCCAGCAGGCCGCGGAGTGGCTCGGGCACCTCCTCGGCCGGGGCGGCCTGCGCCTCGCCCACCTCTCCGTCGGCCCGGGGGGCGCGGGCGCGCGGCCCCGGGAGCCCTGCAGGGAGCCGCACTGGAGCCCACAAGGGGTGGAACAGTCTCCTCCTCCTCCTCCTCCTCCTCCATCCGTGCCTCCTCCTCCATCCAAGCTCAACTGCCTCCAACCTCCTCTCCCCCTCCCCCAATCCTCCTCCTCCTCCTGCCTCCTCCTCCTCCTCCTCCTCCTACCTCCTCCCTCCTCCTCCTCCTCCTCCTACCTCCTCCCCCTCCTCCTCCCCCTCCCCCTACCTCCCTCCTCCTCTCCTCCTCACTCCTCCTCCTCCTCCTCCTCCTCCTCCTCCCCCTCCTCCTCCTCTTCCTCTTCCATTCCTTCTCCTGATAGATAGCTCCTTCCTGTCGCGCCCCGAGGCCAGTTTTTAGGGCGGGCTGGGCGTTTCGTCTGAGACTTCCTCACCATTTATGATTCTGAAGCTTAAACATTGTCAGCAGTTTCACGGATTGAGGGCGGGTGGTTTTGAAAATGTGGCTCTCGCTCGAGCGCCGCGCATATTCGTTGTAAACATTTGCAAGGGTCTCACGGATTGATGGCGGTTCCTTTTCAAAGTGTGGTTCTCGCCTTAGCGCCGCGCACATTCGTTGTAAACATTTGCAAGAGTCTCACGGATCGAGGGCGGTTCCTTTTCAAAATGTGGCTCTCGCCTTAGCGCTGCGCACATTCGTTTTCAGAATTTGCAAGAGTCTCACGGATTCCCATGATCAGCGTACCAGAAATGGTATTTTGGAAGGATTTAGGATTTTGCGGGTGCAGCAGTTATGTTGATTCGCGGTTTTGAAGTCCCACAAATGGCGCTCTGGCACGATTCCGGATCCTCAAAACGCAGCAGTCAGGTTGATACGTGGCGTCGAAATTCTCAGAACAATGTTTTGGCATGCTTCAGGATTTTCAAACGGTTGTCTTCCAACGTGGCAGTTTCCTCAATGGAAATGAACAAATGTGGGGGCCTATGAAGGGGGAGCTTGGAGGGAGGGTCAATTCCAACATCGTTGATGACTCTAGATTTTGCACTGGTCCTCCTCCTCCTCCTCCTCCTCCTCTCCTCCTCCTCCTCCTCCTCCTCCTCCTACCACCCTCCTCACTCCTCCTCCTCCTCCCTCCTCCTGCCCTCCACCTCCTCCTCCTTCCTCCTCCACCACCTCCTCCTCCTCCTCCCCCTCCTCCCCCCTCCTCCACCCCCTCCTCTTCCGCTCCTCCTCCTCCTCCCTCCTCTCCTCCTCCTCCTCACCTCCTCTCTCTCCTCCTCCTCCCGCCACCTCGTCTCCGTCCTCTTCGTCCTCCTCCCCTCCTCCTCCTCCTCCTCCTCCCTCCTCCTCCTCCTACTCCCTCCTCCTTCCTCCTCCTCCTCGTCCTCCTCCTCCTCCTCCTCCTCGTCCTCCTCCTCCCCTGAAATCCTGGCGTTGCAACTTTTTCGCACTGGGCGTACCCGCTCCATTTCGGGCCCCGGGACCCTCGCAGATCGATCCGGCTCGAACAATGACGCAGCAAGATGGGGTCTGGGGCACCAGTCGTGATTTTTGCGATGTCGCATTTTTTTGCAACGTCGGATCTCAGGGTTCTCCTCCTCCAGCTCCCTCTCGGCGCTTCTCGTCCTGCTTCTCCTGCTCTGGCTGCTTTGCGCCGGCCGGGGTCGTCCCGGGCCGCCCTGGCCAGGCTCGAGGTTTTTGGGAGCCCTCGCAGGGAGCCGCACTGGAGCTTAGGGGTGGAGTGGTTTCGGGCTGGTGAACGTTCTCGTATTCGGCGTTTCGACATTGGGCGGAAGGGGGGGAGGGGGGTGTCTGGCTCCGGACCTCTGCTTAGCGCGACTGTTCGGAACAGTCCTCCCATGGGGAATCCTATCATGGGGAGGCGGGGCCCCCGTGCTTACTCCACCTCCTTGAAACAGGTGCCAACAACAGCCAAGATCACTCCCTGGGGGGGGGGAGGGGGTGGGGGTGCGAGGGCCCGCGCCGATCGGCAAAACAGTGAATAAGAAAACGATCACTCGAGGTTCGAGGTTCGAGGTTTTCGGGCGGCAGCCTTTATGCCGTTGCAGAGTTATGGGGAATATTATCTCGCCAGGGTCTCAGTCTACCGTTCCGCAGTCTATTCCGGGGTAATTTGCGTTCGCCAACGGCGATAGCGCTACTGAACTGCACCTAGCGGTTGAGAACAGTCCGATTCAAAAAGCGCGCTGGAGCTCAGAGGTGGAACAGTTTCGGGTTCGAGCCTAGCTTTCTCCAGGTTTTCAATCGTCCTGGGGCGCCCTCACGGCCGCGGCTGGATCCGCCCCGGACTCTGGTCGCAACGTCCCCGAGGAGGGCTTGAGAGGTCGATCTTCGGCCCGTTCTCGACTCCTGAGCGGGGGCAACGCCAGGGGGGGGGGGGGCGAGAGGCTTCGAGGTTCGAGGCTCGAGGTCTGGCCGCTTCTCGGGGGCTCGACCGTGCCTCGGCATGCCTTCGGCAGCTGCGCCCTCCGCCGAGGGCCTCCCGGGAGCGCTCCGCTCGTGCCGAGCGGCCGCCGGAGAGCCGACCTCGGGACCCGAGAGGCCGCGGAGGCAGGGGGAGGAGGCCGAGGGTGCCGAGGCCGCCGCCCTCCCTGCGTTTCGGCCCCGTGGGGCCTCCGGGGGATGCCCTCGCCACCACGGAGGGGCTCGCCGCCCGGGGGAGGGGCCCGCGGAGCGGCGGAGTGGGGACGCTTGTCCCCCCCCCAGGAACGGCGGGGCGGAGGCGAACAGCGTCTACTATCCAGGCTCGCGCGTCGGGTTCGCCGACAGCACGCTGGGGACGCTGCTGTCCGCGTCGTCCATTGACGACCTCAACCGACGGGCCCCCAAGGGGGCCAAGCTTCTCGCCCCGCAGAACTTCCGCATGAACGTGATCGTCTCTGGCACCAGGCCGAACGAGGAGGAGATGTGGAAGGGGTTCTGCATCGGGACCGTGTCCGGGTTTGTCACCAGCAAGCTGTGCAGCCGCTGCACCGCCACCAACGTGGACCCAGAGACTGGCACGAAGCTCCCGTCCGTGGGACTCGGGGCACAACAGATGACATAAGCACACGCTTTTGGAGGTCCGCGCAGATCTCTGGGGTCGGCGCTGAAGCCCCCTGGCGTCGCCTCCAACGCCGCCCCTGGCGCGCTCCTGTAGAGGGGTCCAG